TTTTTCCATTTACCCCCGAGCCCGATTATGTAATTAGTTTCGGAATCCGACCTCAATTTGAGGCCTAAATCCCTAATTTGCAAAACCCCTCAATTCTTCCTAAATCCTTAGTTTTCTACCATGGAAGAACAAAGATTAGGGCTACAAATTAATGGGTGATGTTAGAAATAGAAGAAAATGAGTTAAAGTGAACAAACCTATGCATTGGTGTTCAGTTTTCCCTTCAAAAACGCCTCTATGCCGAGCTCTAATGAAGAGTTTATGAAAAATGGAAGAAATCCCGTTTTGGGACTATTTTAAATCACTGGCTTCAGGAATTCATCGCGTTTGCGTGAAACCTAACACGTTCGCGAAGATCATGGCCTAACTAGCTTACGCGATCGCTAGTAACTCCACGCATTCGCAAAGGTCTAGCCCGCCTCACCTCCGCGTTCGCGTGTGACTGGTCGTGTTCGCGTAGAGAAGGACCCCAATGCTCCGCGTTCGCGACCAAGGTTTCGCGTTCGCGTAGAACAAAATCTCCCCAAGCCCATTTTACACTTCGCGATCATAGGAGTATATTTGCGACCGCGAAGAAGGAAACAACAGAAACCAACAGAAGTGAAAATCCAACAAACTTTCTAAGTTCAAAAGGTCCGTAGGCTATCCGAAACGCACCCGAGCCCTCGGGGATCCAAACCAAATATGCACACAAGTCCAAAAACCTGATACAAACTCGCTCCCATGATCAAAACACCAAAATAATTCCTAGAACTACGAATCGGGCACCAAATCAAATAAAAGTTTTAAGAAAACTTTAGAATTTTTATATTAACAACCGGACGTACGAATCACGTCAAACCAACTCCGTTTCTCACCAAATTTGACAGACAAGTCATAAATATAGTAATGGACATATACCGAGTTTCGGAACCAAAATACGGACCCGGTATCAATAAAGTCAAACATTTGTCAAACCTTAGATTCATTTAGCCTTTAAACTTCAAAATTTCGACAAAAGGCGATAACTCAAGCTAGGGACTTCCGAATTTGATTACGGGCATACGCTCAGGTCCCAAATCAAGATACGGACCCATCGAGACCGTCAAAATATGGATCCGGGTCCGTTTGCTCAAAATGTTGACCGAAGTCAACTCAAATGGATTTTTAAGGCAAAATCTCATATTTGTATCAATTTTTAACATAAAAACCTTCCAAAAGAAATACTCGGACTATCCACGCAAATCAAGGAAGGCTTAAGCAAGATATTGGAGGCTTCGAAATACAGAATTAAGGTTTAAAACTCTAGATGACCTATCGGGTCATCACAGTTCTAGCTCCCCATTTCATAATTTGAGACCTTACATAATGATATTTGATGGTTTATGCCTTGTGTGCGTGGTTCATGTTGATTTTCGGAAAGTTTAAATGTGATTTTTCAAAGAAATCTTGATTTTTGAACTTTAAAATGGTTGGAGTTGACCAATGTCAATAGTTTTGGTAAACAACCTTAGATCGGTGTTTTGATGATTCTGGTAGGTTCGTATGATGATTTTCAAATTGTACGCATGTTTGGTTGGGGTCCTGGATGGCTAAGGATGTTTTGGCGCTTATTATGAAAAGTTAAATATTTGAAGTTCTGAACTTTGAAATCGTTGAGTTTTGATGTGTGTTTCTTGATTATTGATGTTATTTTGGTATTTTAAACTTACGAGCAAGTTCGTATGATGTTTATATATTTGTGTGGATGTTTGTATTGGGGTCGAGAGGCTCTGGTGATTTTTTGATCGGTTTCAGGTTATTTTGGAAGAGTTGGGAATAGCTGGTGTTGCTGTTGTCGCAAATGCGAAGGCAGAATCGCAAATACGAGGCTTGTATTTAGGAATGCTAGCTTGCATTTGTGAGATTGGGAAGAGCTCGGGTGGGTTAGCAATAGCCAGAAGCAGTAACCGTCTTGCGGTCCTTCCCGTTACGTTAAGGCGTGGTTCTCAAACAAATACTTTTTTTGTAGGTCCCACTACTAGAAACAAGGCCTATGAGAACAGTATTTTTGTAACGGTTCTGTAACCGTTGCTATAGCACCTATATTGCAACGGTTCCAACCGTAGCATAAGGGTAAAGGTCCTATTGGAACACGTTTATCACAAAACCGTTGCATTATCCAACAAACCGTTGCAATAGATGTACCTATTGCTAGGTTTACTAGAACAGTTGCGATATGTACTCCTTGGGCAACGGTTCTTTGAAAAATATTATCTATGGCGACTGTTTTATTTTCCTCATTTCCCTCATCTATAATTTTTCCCAACGAGACACCTCTTTATGTGAGTTTTCTATTTTTTATTTTAGCACTAATTTTTGGAATACCTCCCTCGAAAATCTCTCTCAAAATCTTCCGAAAAAACCCTACTTTCCGCAATTTTCCTCTCTTTGCCGGCTTTAGCTATCAATTCTTAAAATTATCTTACAGAGAATGAAACTACTGCTACATTAATCTCTCTCGGTAAAGACCCTAAAATAACAATACAGTTTGAAGGATAAATCGAGCGAAGGACCAACTCTTAGATCTTCAGATCTGCATCGCCGCCGTAAGTCTCTCTAATCTCTTCTATGTGTACTTTTTGGCTGCATTTATCCATGAAATTATAGAGTTCATTTTGTTTGTATGGAGAGATCTCAGATGTATTAAAAGAAGAGATCTACAGATCTTTAAAAACGATATGAATTTGAATATTTTTTCTGAATTGAGATCTGAATGAGTAGTTGTAATCATTACTATAAGCGGATAAGGTTTTAAGCTGGTCTTGCATTCATCAGTCATAGTATACATGGCTGGTCATCAACCAATTGCAACATCTTTCTTTTGTATCTGAACTTGAGATAACCTACGGGAAGCTCTTGTAGGTGGAGTTCCATGCTTGCTTGTATGACTAGAAATTTTTGGTATTCTATAGTACTAATAGGTTTGTTTATTTTCCTAAATAGGTGCCTTTACCTTTGAGTTCGAAAATACGGTTTAATTTTTAGATGTACGCTGCAGTGCTTGGAATTGTTTTGGTTTATTCTACCATTTAAGTTGGATCTACTTGGAATTCTGGCTGCATTAAATCAGGACAAAGTGGAAATAGGCTAAGTTTTTGTTACGAACATATATCAGTACGGGTGAGTTTGATACCGGTGCACTGAGAGCTGGTGACAATAAGAAAAAATGCACCTTCTAAAAGCTAAAATGTTGCTAAGCTCTATGGTGAATTGACATGTTTAGTTCTCTGCTTTTGGTATGTGTCTCTTTCATCGAATGGTCATTTTGTTACCTGCAAAGATACTCAAACACAATTTTGAGTCTAGTTAAGTGTTTTCACTGATGTTTTGTTATTTATTGCATTTGACTACTGTTGTCTTCCACCTTGTAATTGTTTTTGTCTCTCAATATAATTTTCTTCCTCTACTCCAGTCAAGTAATTATGTGCTACCTCTGTAGCCCCAAAATGAAGAACAATTTCTATTCACAAAAATTGTAAGTATCTTTTGTAAACAACTCCAGTACAAAACTTTTATAAATGTATACAACTAAAAAAATTTGAAGTAGTATGATATTGAAATGTTCCAAGGCTTTTGTAAATGTCATTCTCGAACCTTTTGAGATGATGGTCTAAATTTGTAGAGTGTTGTCAAGAGGCAATCCTTCTTTCTTTCTGGAGGGGAGGAAAAGTTCTTCTAAAGAGAAGTTCAAACTTTTTGGTTGTACTCTTTAGATGTCGTAGATTCAGTTGTAACTCGAAAAAATGAAATGTAATTTTACAAAAATATTCTTCAAGACATTGTTTGTTGCACCAGGTAAGAGTATGGAGTTGCCGTATTTTTTCCGTTAAAGTTATTCATTGATATTCAAATGTAATGAATGTTTTTACTGAACATATTCATATGGTGGTAGAAGAAAAATACAATATACATAATTCATGAGATAGCTTCCACGTAATATGTAGGTTCTGGCATAAATATTTATATTGCATCATCAATTCTAATTGAAAAAGGTTTTAAGAATGTAAACAAATCATACATCGGGCAGTATTATTTTCTATATGCAGTTAAGTTGAAAATCTTTGTGGTTTCTGGTAGTTTTATATGTGCAATTATGCCGAATTTTTTTGCTATGGTTTTCATGTGCACTTCGTTAGATTTTTCCTCTCCAGTTAAGCTTGAAATTTTCTGCAGTATTCTTTTGTATTTATTTTTGCAGTTAAAGATTGAAACTTTATGCAGTAATTTTTCTTAAGTGCTTTCTTTTTTTTTTTTTTTTTTTTTTTTTTCCAGTTAAGCAAGGAGATCAAGGTGAGAGTTCTTTGAGTAATAACTTGTTGGGCTTTTAAGCTTGGTTTAACTTAATTTTAAGCTTGGTGTAGCGTAAAGAGGGTGAATGGGAAATGAAGGGAAAATGAAATATTTGAGTTTCCCTCCTTGGCAAAGGGACATTGTCCCATATTGGAGGAAGAAAAGGCTTTTGATGGGTATATATACAATTGCTCTTTTTCTAACTCTTAAAGAGTTAAGAAGAAGGCAAGCCTCGTGCCGTCGTCGCTCGCTCGGCTTCGGTTTCGGCTTCGGTTAAAGATTGATTGATTAATCTTTTGGACAAAATTTTTTTCAATTAATTAATTAAATTAATTAACAAAAATTCAATATGCAAATAGCCTGTTCCAACAACCATTGCTGTTTCTGAATGGTTGCAAACCTTTTCAGAAACAGTGCCAATAAGTCTGTAAATATGCTTTGAATCCCAGAATCTTTTCCTTACGAAATTTTCTGCTCTTCTTCTTCTGCACAGAATCTTCAGTGTGTTTTACAGCCTTCGAGTGGTTCGCTGCTACATCGGCATTTTTGGTACCAACACTCCGGTGAGTTAAATCGTTCTATCCTGGGAGGATAATATTCCAGCACATCGGGTACGTGAGGGGAATAATTTCCTTAAGGACACACTGTGCATTCAGTAGGCTCGATTTATTCCGAAATTATTTTTTCAGAAATTATTTCGACATTCTTTTCTTGCTAACTTTCTGTTTCTGTTTTTTCGATTTCAGAAAGTTTAATGATTTTTATTGTTTATTACAGTAATACAGAGTAAATATCATAACTCTTGTGTGATTTTGAAGGTAATTGCCTTAGATGGATCAATCATCTAGTAATTGCACTGAGTATTTAATTGTGTTGCTATAATAGTTCAATCATCCAACAATTTCAACAAGGTCTTTAGATGTTCTAGGAATTTTTTATTTTAGAATTTTTTGCAAACTTATGTATGGTAACTCTTGAATTTATCAAATAATATTCTCTTTTTTGCTTTATACTCTATGAATAGTACTAGTTGGATAATTTGATTTGTGACTTTGTTATTTAATAGTTCCTTTAGTGATTTGTATCAATTTCAGTATAATATATTGTACTTAACCGTTCTTATAGATTTATTGCAATGGTTTTACTACCTATTGCAACAGATTGTGACCCGTTTGCAATAGACCAATTTTCTAGTAGTGCCCTTGGAATTGTAAAGCATTGTCCGTAAAAGTGAGGTCCCCATTTGCGAATGCTGGCTCGCATTTGCACCGACACGTTTTGGCAATTGCGAGCTAAGTGGTCGTATTTGCAATGTCCAGTTCGCAAATACGACATCTGCAACTGGGTAAAAGGTTAGCTTATTTTCTTCATGTAGACTTCATGTAGAGCCAACCTTTGAAGAGATTTTTATCCCAACATTATAGGTTAGTAGCTTTAACTTGTTTTGGCTAATTTTCTCATTCCTAAATCTAAGTTGTCATATAGTAGAAATAGAGTTTTTGGGTAGAAAATTTATGATTTTGTATTTAAAAGAGATTTAGACCTCGATTTGAGGTTGGATCTTGAAATGAATCGCATATTTGGATTTATGGGAGAATGAGTTATCGAGATTTGGTCTTAATTTTGGATTTCGACCAAGTGGGCCAGAGTTAACTTTTTGTTGACTTTTTCAAATATATTAATGATCGAACCTTTTTTATACTAGAGTTGTTTGTAAAGCCTGTTTTGACTCATTTGAACATTATTTGACTAGATTCAAGTTGATTGGAAGCTTGTGCTAAAGGCAAAGCTTTGTTGGATTGTTGATTTGGCTTAGGAAGAGGTAAGTATCTTGGTTAACCTTGATTTGAGAAAATTAGGATATTATTGAATCTACTTTCTATATGAATTGTGTGGGGGACGATGCATATACAAGGTGACAAGTGTATATATGTTGTCATGGGTCAAAGCATGCAGGTAAAACTAGTTTATCTTGTGTTTTATTTATTACATGCTCTTACATGTTCCGTGCCTATATTTATAATATGTTTTACTTGTTCCATGTCTTTATTTTTTACATGCCTTGCTCGTCATATGTTTTACTTGTTACATGCTTATACTTGTTTATGCTTTTACTTAATAAATGTATTTACTAGAACATGTCTATGCTTGTTTTATGCTTTATTTTCCTATGCTATGTTGGGGATTGTGCGATTATTTGATTGTTGTGTGTTAGTAACCTTATTTGGATCCTTATTACGTTATATGAGTAAGATTAACTCTAAAACTTGGGATTTGACATTACTTTTTGTTCGTGCCCATTCTTTTCTTAGTAAATTATGCTTATTTATTCTCTTTGATAGTTATTATGGATATTTCTTTATATGGATGTGTTGATTGATGGTTCAACGTGAGTTGATATTTTGGATCGGGTTTCCGCTGCAACAATGTTATGATAAGGATCAGGTTGCTCGCCGCAAGAATAGTATGTCCATGGGATCGGGTTGCAGTCGCAATGATGCTTATGTATGTGTTGGATCGGGTTGTGCGCCACAAGGTATGTGTTATAAGATGTGGGTTTGTTTGTGATATAGACTCTCTTTATAGATTGCTGCTGCACTAATTATAGATATTGTTTCTTCCCTATTGGTTTGAGCTGATGAAAAGGGTTTTAACTAGTGCTATTCAAGAAAATATGGTTATCATTACTGATATTGGACACTTCTACTGATTCCTAGCTTTTATTTATGCTATTATTACTGTTATCTCTTTTATTGCTTGTTAACTAGGCTTTTATTTAAATGTCTTGTCATAGGCACATCACTACCTTGTAGAGGTTAGGCTTGATATTTAGTGAGTGCATATGGTTGATTATACTTACACTATACTTCTATACTTTTTATACAGATTGTGGGAATGGGTCTTAGCATCGTTCAGAGGGGTGCATAATTTGGACATCAGGGAGACTTGAGGCAGTGCTGGTTTCTCGTCCGTAGACTCTAGAGTCACCTCCATTTTCACTATTACTATTTTTCCTTGTATTAGATAATATTACATTTCATTTCAGACTATGTTTGTAGCACTCTTAGTAGCTCATGTACTTGTGACAACAAATCTTGGGATGGTTGATTAGCCAACATTGGGTTTAGACTTATTATGTATGTTTCTGAGTTTAATTTTATTCTATATTATCTTTATACTATTAACTGTTAGTCTCTTTTCCTTATTTATCGTTATGTGTTGGCTTGCCTAGCAAGTGGTGTTACACGCCATCACGACCTCGTTGGTTGGAATATTGGGTCGTGACATGTTGGTATCAGAGTACTACATTAAATAGGTCTCACGAGTCATGAGCAAGCTTGATAGAGTCTTGAGGATCGGTACAAAGATGTATGTACGTATCTTTTAGAGGCTTTCAGGCTTTAGGAAACTTCACTTTCTTTCCTTCTACATCGTGCGAATTTGTTCTATTCTAAAGTTTCAATCTTTTTCTCTTATTATCTCACAGATAATGAGGGCACGTGCTTCATCCACTGCTGATCAGGAGACGGAGCCCAAGATTGCAGCCACTACTAAGGGTAGGGTTGGGGCATGTGCAGAGGCAGAGCACATGCAATGGCACCTACATTCGAGCCTCAACTAGCTTTGTGTGGTTTGATTCCAGTTCAGGTCGAGCCGGTAGGACCAACTTAGGTCATAGAGGGGTTCATTGCTACCCTAGTGCTTCAAGATGCCTTACTCTGCATGGTGGGCCTTATGGAGAGTATGGCTCATACTGGTGTGCATCCTATGGTACCCGCCTCTTCTCAGGCCAGGGGAGGAGTTTAGACCCTTTCTACTCATACCTCATAGCATATGGCCCATAGTTATCGCACCCTAGGAGTGTTACCAGTCGGGTGGTTCAACCTATTATTGCCGTGCAACTTGAGAATGGGCCCGCGATGTCAACTAATGTACTAAAAAGGATGGATAGTTCTAGAAATTGTATCGTCCTCACATTAATGGTGTGCCTTCGGAGGATGCCCAAGACTTCTTGGACCATTGTCATGAGATTCTGCATAATTTGGGACTAGTTGAATCTAGTGGAGTAGATTTCACCATCATTCAGAAGTATGGTTCAGCCAAGAGGTGGTTGCAAAATTATGAGATGGGTAGACTAGAAGGATCACCTCCTCTTATATGGATTCAGTTTTCGCAGTTGTTCTTGGAAAGTTCATTCCACTTACTCTAAGAGATGAGCTACACAACCAGTTTGAGCGTCTTCAGCAGGGTAGTATGGCTGTTACCCAGTATGAGATGAGATATGTTGATTTGTCTGGTTATGCAGCTATCTTGATCCCTACTGAGAGGGAGAAGGTGAGAAGGTTTATAAAGGGGCTTTCATATGGTATTAGACTTCAGATGGCAAGAGAGGTCGAGACTGAGACTTCTTTCACTCAGGTAGTGGAGATTTCCAGGAGGATTGAGAGAATTGTGGGCCAAGTGAGAGAGACGATTTCTGATAAGAGGCCTCATTATTTTGGTGGTTTTAATGGTGCCTCATTTGGAGGCAGGGGTTATTTTGGTATAGGTTATTCTATTATGCCGATTTAGTCAGCGCTCCAGGTTTCTCATGGTACTCCAGGAATCCATGGTATTTATAGTTATGCATTCCCGGGTAGGCCTGAGGCGGAGTCATCTGATGCGATTATCATAGGTATTATCTCAATATGTCATAGAGATGCTTCGATGTTTTTTTATCCGAGTTCTACATATTCTTATGTGTTTTCATATTTTGCATCACACTTGAGTATACCTCGTGATTCTCTTGATATTCTTATTTATGTGTCTACACCGATGTGGGATTTTATAGTAGTTGATCGAGTGTATCAGTCTTATGTTGTTACCATTAATGGTTTTGATACTATAGTTGATATATTGTTGTTGGATATGGTGGATTTTGAGGTTAAACTTGGTATGGATTGGTTGTTCCGTATCATGCTATCTTGGATTATCACGCCAAGACTGTGACTTTGGCTATGCTAGGGTTTCCTAGATTAGAGTGGAGATAGACCCTTGGTTATTCTACCAGCATTATGGTTTAATTCTTGAAGGCTCAACGTATGGTTAGGAAGGGGTGCTTAGCATATTTGGCTTACATTCGAGATTCTAGTGTAGAAGTTCCTTCTATGGATTCAGGATCAGTTGTGAGAGAGTTCCTAGAGGTGTTTCCTATAGATTTACCGAGCATTCTACCCAACAGAGATATTGACTTTTGTATTGATTTGTCTCCAGGCACCCAACCCATTTTTATCCCACCATACCATATGGCTCCAGGTTAGTTGAAGGAATTGAAGGAGCACTTGCAAGATCTGCTTGATAATGGGTTCATTAGACCGAGTATTTCTCCTTGGGGTGCGCCAATGTTGTTTGTGAAGAAGAAGGATGGTTCAATGAGGATGTGCATTGATTATCGGTAGTTGAACATGGTTACTTCAAGAACAAGTATACATTGCCTCACATTGATGATTTATTTGACCAGCTTTAGGGTACCAGGGTATTTTCCAAGATTGATTTGAGACCGGGCTATCATCAGGTGAAGATTAGGGCTTCAGATGTCCCTAAGACAACTTTTAGGACTCACTATGGCCATTACGAGTTCTTGGTGATATCATTTGGTTTGACTAATGCTCCAGTACCTTTTATGGATTTGATGAACCGAATGTTTAATCCTTATTCAGATTCCTTCATGATTGTGTTCATTGATGATATTCTGGTTTACTCTCATAGTAGTGAGGGGCATGAGCAGCATTATTTCAGACTTTGAAGATCGTCAACTTTGTTCTATGTTTTCAAAGTGTGAGTTTTGGTTGAACTAAGTTGCCTTCTTGGGTCATGTTGTGTCTATTAAAGGTATCAAGGTTGATCCTAAGAAGATTAAGGCAATTCACAATTAGGCTAGACCTGCTTCAGCTACAGAGATTCGGAGTTTCTTGGGTTTGGTAGGCTACTATCATCGTTTTGTGGAGGGGTTTCATCTTCAGTAGCCCCATTGACTAAGTTTACTTAGAAGTGTTCTCCTTTCAGATGGTCCGATGAGTGTGAGAAGAGCTATCGAAAGCTTAAGGTTGCTTTTACTACAACTCTGGTGCTGGTGTTGCCCATATGTTCATAGCCATATACTATGTATTGTGATGCTTTGTGCATCGGGCTTGGTGCAGTTTTGATGCACGGTGGTAGGGGGATTGCCTACGCTTCTCGTCACTTCAAGATCAATGATAAGAATTGTCTTTTTTATGACTTGGATTTGGCAGCTATTGTGCATGCACTCAAGATTTGGAGGCACTACTTGTATGGTGTGTCATGTGAGGTCTACATTGATCACTGGAGTCTCCAGCATTTGTTCAAGAAAAAATTATTTGAATTTGAGGCAACGAAAATGGTAGGAGTTATTGAAAGACTATGATATCACTATATTGTATCATCTGGGAAAGGCTAATGTGGTGGATGTCGCCTTGAGTAGGAAGGCAGAGAGTATGGGTAGTTTGGCTTTTATACTAGCTGTAGAAAGGCCATTGGCTATGGATGTTCAGGACTTGGCTAAATAATTTGTGAGGTCGGTTCTTTAAGAGCCTAGTAGGGTTCTTGCTTGTGTCGTTACGCTATCGTCTTTGTTGGAGCACATCAAGGCTAGCCAGTTTGATGATCCTCACTTGTTGGTATTGAAAGACATGATGCATCGAGGTGGTGCTAAGAAGGTTGTGATTGGAGATGTTGGTGTTATGCGGCCTTAGGATCGGATTTGTGTTCAAAATATTGATGGTTTTGAGAGAGTTGATTCTTAAGGAGGCTCATAGCTTGCGATATTCTATTCATCCATGTGGCACAAAGATGCATCATGACCTGAAACAACATTATTGATGGCGGAAGATGAATAAAGACATTGTTGGGCATGTCTCACGGTGCTTGAATTGCCAGCAAGTCAAGTATAAACATCAAAAATAGGGTGGTTGGCTTAGTGGTGATACCAGAGTGGAAGTGGGAGCACATTACTATGGAATTTATTGTAGGCTTACCATGGACTTTGAGTAAGTTTGATGCTATTTGGGTCATTGTGGATAGGCTGACCAAATCTATGCATTTTATTTCGGTGATGACTTCCTACAATTCAGTGAGGTTGGCTCAAATCTGTATCAGCTGGATTGTTCATCTACACGGTGTGCCCTTTTCTATAATTTCAGACCATGGCACGTAGTTCACTTCACACTTTGGAAGAGCTGTTCATTGCGAGTTAGGCATGCAGGTGGAGCTCAGCACTGCATTTTATTCGCAGATGGATGGCCAGTCCGAGTGGACTATCCAGACCCTTGAAGATATGTTGAGGGCTTGTGTTATTAATTTTGGAGGACAGTAGGACTGATTTCTATCATTGGCGGAGTTTGCCTACAACAACAGGTACCGGTCCAACATTCAGATGGTATAGTATGAGCCTTTATACGGTAGGTAATGTTGTTCTTCTATTGGTTGGTTTGATCCTGGTAAAGCTAGAATGTTGGGTATAGATTTGGTTCGTGATGCGTTGGAGAAGGTGAAGTTGATTCAGGATCGCTTTCATATATCGAAGAGCATGCAGAAGAGTTATGCGGACAAGAAGGTCCATAATGTGGCTTATATGGAGGGCGAAAAGGTACATTTGAAATTTTTGCCTATGAAGAGTGTGATTAGATATGGAAAGAAGGCAAGTTGATCCCGAGGTTTATTGGCCCATTTGGGATCTTAGAAAAAGTTGGAGAGGTTTCTTATAGGCTTGCATTTCCTCCTAGCCTTTCGGGGGTACATCCGCTATTTCATGTTTTAATACTTCGGAAGTATTATGAAGATAATTCACATGTATTGGACTTCATAACGGTGTAGCTTGATGGGGATTTGACTTACGAAGAAGTGCCGGTAGCTATTCTAGATCGGTAGGCTCGAAAGTTGAGATCTAAGGATAATTCTTCTGTGAAAGTGCTTTGAAGAGGTTAGCTGATGAAGGAGGCTACTTGGGAGTCTGAGTCCGATGTCAGGAGTAGATATATGTATCTTTTTACAAGTCCATGTACATTTTTATGTCCATTTGAGGACGAACATTTCTTTTACTAGTGGAGAATATAACGACCCGACAAGTCATTTTGAGTTCTAGCTCCCTATTTCATGATTTGAGACCTCACATAGCGTT